CATTAATAATTGACTAAAAGACTTTCGAGTGTATGGAGAGAAAATCAGTAATGGTTTGCTTTGTAGCTCCTCTGTCTCATTTCAATGCCCCTCCAGTCAAGTTTCTGCCCCTGATCAGCAGGATCTTGATACTCCAGGTGGATCTAACTGATACATTTACATCAGTGCTGCCTCCCATCGACGAATAGCTCCGTAGGTGGAATGACAGTGAGGCTGATAATCCACATATTGGCCATCCCTAATTGCCCCGCGAGAAGATTAATATAGAAACATAGAAAATAGGAGCAGAAGTAGGCCATTTGGCCTTTCAAGCCTGTTCTGCCATTCAATGCGATCATAACTGACCATCCAACTCAGTGCCTTGTTCCCACTTTCTTCCATATTCTTTGATACATTTAGGCCTCAGAACTATATCTAACTCCTTCTTGAAAGCATTCAATATTTTGGCCTCAGCTGCTACCTGTGGCTAAGTTGGTGGTGAGCGGGGCAGTTAGGGATGGGCAACAAATGGCCAATGATGCCCAAATCCCATGAAAAAGTAGAAATCAGTGCCTAAAGTGTAGGTTTGTGCCACAGAGTGCAAGAAAAAACATGTTTTATTGAAGTGAAACTGGGAAAGTTTTTTACATCAACGTGGAAGTCAAAGATCAAGTGTTTAATTGGGTAATTTTTGAAACAGGATAATGGTTGCGTTTGATGTTCTAATTGGACATGGAAGAAAAGAGAGACAGAGGAAAGAATTTGAATCCGGACTGATATCCAAAGTAAAATTAATTTCAAAGGCTGGAGATTGGAAATGAAGAGACTAAAACATAAGAATGTTATTGCAGTAAGGTGGAGTAAAATATGTTTTCAGCTGACACTCTGGGAAGCTGTAATGTAGTGGTAGTGTCACTTAACTAACAATTCTGGGGGCCTCAGTTCATATCCTGTTTCTGGAGCTTGGGGAGGGTTCTCTGAATTTGATTAATCTAGAGTTTTTCTTTTAAATAGCCGATAGAAAACGGTAATTGGCATAAAACTCCATCCGGTTAACTTTAAGGAAGAAAATCTGCCTTCCTTCCCTAGTCTGAACCTGATTCTTATCTTCCTTCTGAGATGGCCAAGTGAGCCCTTCAGTTCAAGAGATGACAAGGAATGGGCAACAAATGCCTGCCTCACCCAGTGATGGCCACATCCCATGAAACAACAAAGAAATGTGAGAACAAGATAGAACCTGGGCCCAAGTGTGCAGGCTTTGAGACACATTCTCTCACATGCTCTCAAAATCTGTGGAATTCACCGCCCCAGAGTGCGTTGGATGCCAGGACACCGAATAAATTTATGGAGGAGATAGACGGATTTTTAATTACTATCGAGTTTAAGGGTTAAAGGGTGCTGGCAGGAAAGTGGAGTTGAGGCCAAAATGAGATCAGCCATGATTGCACTGAATGGCAGAGCAGTCTCGAGGGACTGAATGGCCTACTCCAGCTCCTAGTTCTTACGCTTTTATGTAGTCTAATACTTATGAAAGAATGCTCATGTTGACTTACCTGAGTGCAGACCCTTTGGTCCATTTGTTCTATCCCACACGATCAAACACCACAGAAGAAAGAACAGTACGGCATAAGAACAGGCCCTTTGGCCCTTCATGATTACACTGACACATTTTGCCCTTCCATACTAAATAAAAACCAAAAGAACTGCGGATGCTGTAAATCAGGAACAAAAACAAAGTTGCTGGAAAAGCTCAGCAGGTCTGGCAGCATCTGTGGAGGAGAAAACAGAGTTAACGTTTCGGGTCCGATTATCCTTCCTCAGAACTGATGGTGGCTGGGAAAACGTCAGTTTATATGCAGAAAATAGGGAGGTGGGTGGTGTAGGGAGTAAACAATAAGATAGAGCCCAAAGAGAGAGAAAGACAGTTGGACAGACAAAGGAGTTGCTAACGATAAGGCTGGGACAGTGAATCTGCTGATCTGCTGAACTTTTCCAGCAACTTTGTTTTTGTTCCATACTAAAACTGTCTTCACTTATAGGATCTATATCCCTCTATTCCCTTCCTATTCATGTACTCATCCAGGTGTTTCTTGAATGCTGCTATTGTGTCTGCTTCCACCACCTCCTCTGGCAGTGTGTTCCAGGCACTCACCACACTTTATGTGAAAAACTTGCCTCGCACATCTCTTTTAAATTTCCCCCTTCATACCTTGAACCTGCGACCCATAGTAAGTGACCCCTCCACCCTGGGAAAAAGCCCCATACTTTCCACTCCATCCATGCTATTCACAATATTATAAACTTGTATCAGGTCGCCCCTCAACCTCCTGTGTTCCAGTGAAAACAAACCCAGTCTATCCAACCTTTCTTCAAATCTAAAATCCCCCATACTGGGCAACATCTTGAATTAACCTTTTCTGTACTCTCTCCAAAGCATCCACATCCTTCTGGTAGAGGGGTGATCAAAACTGTATACGATATTCCAAGAGTGGCCCAGCTGAAGTTCTATAAAACGGTAGCATAACTTGCCTATCTGTATACTCAGTGCCCCTTCCAATGAAGGTAAGCATACCATAGGTCTTTTTTACTACCTTATCTACTTGTGCTGCCACCCTCAATGATATGTGGACCTGCACACCCAGATCCCTCTGCACATCAATACTCCTAAGGGTCCTGCCATTCACTGTATAATTTCCACCTGTACTTGACCTTCCAAAATGCATCACCTCACATTTGTCCATCCTCACATTAAACTCCATTTGCCATTTCTCAGTCCATGTCTCCAACTGATCTATATGCTGCTGTATCCTCTGACAATCCTCCTCATTATCCAAAACTCCACCAATTTTTGTATTGTCCGCAAACTTACTAATTAGTCCAGCCACGTTTTCCTCAATATCATTTATGGAGACCACAAACAGCAGAGGTCCCAGCACTGATCCCCGTGGAACACCACTAATCACAACCCTCCATTCCAAAAAGCGTCCTTTCACCACTACCCTCTGTCTCCTATGACTAAGCCATTTCTGTATCCAACTTGCCAGCTCACCCCGGTACCATGTGACTTCACCTTTTGTACCATGAGGGACTTTGTCAAAGGCTTTACTGAAATTGATGTAGACAACTTCAACTGCTTTTCCCTCATCAATCATCTTCGTCACCTCCTCAAAAAATGTCCACCCCCGCACAAAACCATGCTGTCTATCACTAATAAGTCCTGCTTCTAAATATGAATACTCCTTTTGCCTGAGAATCTTTTCCAATAATATCCCTACCACCAACGTGAGGCTCACAGACCTGGATTATCCCTGCTACCCTTCTTAAACAATGGGAAAACATTGGCTCTTCTCCAGTCCTCTGGGACCTCTCCTACAGCCAAAGTGGAAACAAAGTTGTCTGTCAATGCTCCAGCAAATTGTTCTCCTGCCTCCCTCAATATTCTGGGATAGATCCCATCAGGACCCAGGGACTTATCTACTTTAATACTTTTTAAGATGCATAACACCTCTTCCTTTTCATTCAATTGGAACAAATCCAGGAAGTCCTTCCTGGCCTTCACATTCTGCACTGTACCTGCCTCTGAAGCTCATGAGGCTTCTCTTGAAGGACTGCCCCTCACTCCAAGGAATTTTGTGAGTCCACCTCAGAGGTGCAAGCTTGTTCAAGAGGCTCACTACTATCAGGGAAAAGAGCAACCCCTCATTCTCCAATCTTGCACCTTTTGTAACAGGCGATTCCTTGGCCAATCTGAAAGAATTTGTTTCAAACATCACAGAGTAGCTGAAAGGGACAAAAAAGAGACCTTAGGAATTTTCTGATAATTACAAGTATGAACCAACAGTTAGAAAATGTACTTACAGCTAGAAGATGTGAAAACGCAATGATCTGATTAGATACTATAATCATGTGCATGAGTATGATCAGATAATAGAGTAATGTGTCCTAACTTGGAATGTAGACTATGTGAACACTGTTGGGTAGAGATAAGATGTTTAGATAAGTGAAGATCTGCAGCCTCTATATTTACATGTGCTCCATCTCAATCAATGCTGGCAGGTGTTTGAGTCCATAGCACCCGAATGACACTGAGTCACTGGGAGATTGAGAAATCCAACTAAGTATCAAAAACCAGTAAGACTTACAAATGAATCAGAGATAGTAGGAACTGCAGATGCTGGAGAATCCGAGACAACAAAGTGCAGAGCTGGATGAACACAGCAGGCCAAGCAGCATCATAGGAGCAGGAAGGCTGATGTTTCGGGCCTAGACCCTTCATCAGACCCTTTTCTGATGAAGGGTCT